GGGATTATATGCATGTGCTACCACACCTGGCTTGGTTTTTCTTTTTCCTGTGACGAAATCTGAAGGCAGTTGAAGCTTCCACAGGCAGATGAGAAGAACAGCAGGCCTTCTGCATAGCACCAGGAGGCCCTAAAAGAAACTGGGTACAGTTCTGCTTTGTTCCTCGCAGGGAGCTTTTCTAAGAACACGGTAGAACTGGCATCACTCTAGGCCCCTGAATGGAGCTTGTTATGTTTCTCTGCACCAGGGCTTCTCAGCCTTCCTAAGCTGTGACCCTGTAGTACAGTTCCACACGCTGTGGTGACCCCAACCATAAACTTGCTTTCGTTGGTACTTCCTAACTGTAATTTTGCTACTGTTATGAATGGTAAGACTAATATTTTTTTGAGATGGAGATTTGCCGACGGGATCATGACCCACAGATTGGCAATCACTGCTATGAGCTGGCTCTGTTTTTACCCAAGTCCTCCAAACAGAAGTGGCTGTGTCAAAACCACCCTAGACTCTTCCACCCTCTGAGGGAGCACTGCGTTCCCTTCTCATCTCCATCCTCCCGGGGGGCTCCTCTTCCACTGTCTCTGTAGACCGCCACTAAGCTCTGGAGCATCTCTTAGGAACAGGACTTAGAATGGCTGTTCAGCTGCTCCAGATTAATACCTGCCTGGTACCCTGTGAGAGGCAGCTTCAGCAGCCTGTTCCTCTAATCGGCTTATGGCTATGACCCGGTTCATGCAAGAGAAGGCTCTGTTGTGGGGCCAAGCCATTGAGTAGCTGCTCTTCTGCAGTGTCCCCCTGAGGACAGTGAAAATTCAGACCCAGAGCATCCTGACAGGCAGGGGTCACCAAAGCTGACAAACATTTTGTGTTTTGACTTAATGAAAATTACTGGCGGCAGAAGGAAGCATATATTTATAACATTTTTTAAAGACTTATTTGTTTTTATTTTATGTGTATGGGTGTTTTGCCTGTATGTGTGTCTGTGCTCCATGTACGTGCCTGATTTGAGCCGAGGCCAGGAGGTCATATCTGATCCTTTGGAACTGGAGTTACAGATGACTGTGAGCGGCCATGTGGGTGCTGGGACTCAAACCCAGTCCCCTGAAAGAGCAGTCAGTGCTCGTACCAAGTGCGCCATCTTTCCACTCTCTATAAGTTTTAATGTGACAATTGACCTTACATCTCACAAGACAACCCCATCACAATCCTCTCTATCTATCCCCCACCTTTCAGGAGGGTCCCATGTATGCTAGACTGGCTTTGAACTCATTATGTAGCCAAAGGTGATCTTGAACTTCTGATCTTCCTGCCTCCACCTCCCAAGTACTGAGATGACAGGTATGTGCCACCTCGGCCAGTGTGTGGTGCTGGGGCTTGAACCCAAGGCCTCAGGTATGCTGTCAACCATTCCAACAGCCGAGCTATATCCCTGGTCCTACATAGATCTCTTCTGATTAGTTTATTCCAGTCTTCTCAACTGAGGATACTGATTATAGAACTCAGTCTGTCACGGCCTGCTAGACTCAGGACGACTCTCACTCCTGTTTACTTTCTATTGTTTTTATTTACTTACTTAGTGTTCCTGGGCATATGTAAGGGTCAGAAGGCAACTTTCCCGGAGCACACTCAGGTCCTCAGACTTGGTGGCAGCTAGCACCTTTACCCGCTGAGCCATCTCGCTGGCCTGTGTGTTTTCTAGTCTCAGCTCATGATCCTCTAGTTGCTTGCTCACACCAGACCTGCTTGTGGTTCTGAGATTTGCCAAGCTGCTCTTGGCTTCAGAGCTTTGCAGCTTCTTCTACCTGAAAGGCGCTGCCTTAGCTCTGTGCAGCGCTGATTCTTCCTCATTTTGGTCTCAAAAAATGACACATTTGCAGAGACTTCCCCATCACCTTTACGGTCAAAGAAATCTCTCGCCCTTGGTTTTAGCTAGATTCCTCATCTGAGCACCAAAAAGGAAAAAGAAATATGTTGAGTAACTGCCTTTCCCATTCCTTCAAGGACTGTTGTGACAACTGCCAACCCTGCTGTAGCTGAGAGAAGTTAATTCTTAGATGCAACGGGTGCCCAGGCAGGGATTAATCCTTCACCATTAATCTGTTGTGTCCCCTGGCTTTTTTTCTTTAAGGTCCTCTCCACTCCATGCTGATCTGGTAAATAATTTATTTCCTGTCACGTCACTGCGGAATATGACTTCCAGAATGACAGGGAGCCTGTTGTCTGTTGGGCAGGCCGAATCCCAAATGCCCAGCACAGCCTTGTTCTGTGTCAAAAGTGCAGTGAGTTTCCCATGATGAGAGGAAAAGTTACTGTGGACTGGGCGTTTCAATGTTCTTGGCCTCTTATCCAAAGGCTTGAAAACAAGGGATCGCACAGATTTGCAAAAGAAGCAAAATAATTTCATTCAGAGCCAAGTAAGAGTACAGATTAGGGAGAGATCCCCTGCCAAGATTGTCAGTGGGCCCCAGGAGAGAGTGTTGAAGGGCTCCAGGCAGCAGCTGACTCTCCACATGGCCTACAGGAAGGAGGGGTTGGTCAACAAGGGGTGTATTTTGGGTGGTTCTCTTTTGACTGATAGGTTAGGTCATATATTCGCTTTTCTTACTGTGCATGTCTGTCTCTTCCTGGATTGCATCACACACGCAGCCAATTATTCATAGCACAGTTGGTGAGTAGGAGATTCTCTCTAAAAGGGAGGACACAGCTTCGCCTTACTGAAAACATATATAAAACCAGCCCAGGCCAGATCAGCTCCCCTCCCCTTTTTTTCTTCTTTCTATGTGGATATGTCGGGAATATACTTGAACAGAAACTATTTGAGTGTTACCAGTTCCAGGTCTGGAAATGCATGCTATGGTTGGGAGATGGGAGCAGGTGTGCACTCTTACAAGGGGACGTGGAGCCCCTGACTAAATGGGAGTCTCGGGGCCCTAAACCATTTCTGGACTCGCCGGCCTCAGAAGAGTGTTACACCAGTCACAGTTTAGACCTTGGTGACGCCCTCAGGCAATTAGCCTCAAACTTCAGTGCACCAACCAAAGAACCGATGTCTGAGAGGCAATAGCCTGGTTCTTCAGGACCTGATCCTTAGGAGAAAGGAGCATGTTTCGATTAGGGACGGGAGAGATGACTCAGAAGGAAAGACGCTGTCAAGCCTCACGGCCACGTGGTAGGAGAGCGTTGACTCCCAGAAGTTGTCTTCTGACCTCCTAGTGAAACCCCTGCCTCAAGTGTCCCCTACCCCAGTAAATAAATAAATGTTAAAAAGAGAAAAGTTTGGATAGAGCTGAGTCAAAACATTCCAATGTTGTTTTAATTTCAAAATGGAATCTTGGCTTTTAGTTCATCTGGCTTTCATAAGGAATGCTTGGCTCTAAGCCACATTAGAAAAGTGTATACACAGAGAACACAGTTGTGGTTAGTTAGTAATAACAACTTTTATCAGCCAGGCATAATGGAGCACACTTTTAACTCCAGCGCCCAGCAGAGGCAGAGACAGGTGGATTTATGGGAGTTTGTGGCCAGCATGGTCTACATAGCAAATTCTAGGACAGCCAGAGCCACGAAATAGAGACCCTGTTTTAAAAACAAAAAGAGTAACGGTTATTATCTCTTTAGGTAATAGATTTTCTGTGTTACTTGAAAAGGAGGAGGCAAGCTCATTGTTTCACAGGCAACTGAAGCATTTGCTAATTTTTTTAAATAAAAATCTGGAATATTTATGCTTTACTACAAAAATTTCTTCCCTCAGAGTTCAGATGGCAAAGGAGGAGAATAATACAGGTGACCCAGCAGTTTCTAGATAAATGCTCCAGAGAACTGGATGCAGTAACTTCAGTAGATATGTGTGCACTTTGGGTCATAGCCTTAGGCACAATAACAAAAGGGAAACCCCACTGAAATGCCCAGGGGACAAGCGCATTAACAGAACATATTGTATTTAGACGGTGAGATATATTCATCAGTAAAAAGGAAAGAAATCCTGACACGCAGTCCAGCACAGGTGGAACGAAGGGCCTTTCTCTATCTGAAATAAGCCAGACGCTAAAAGGACAGGTATTGTGGCTTCTATTTATGAGGGTGTCCCAGGTGGAGGAATCCTTGAGGATACTGAGAAGAGGGATTGCTGGGGCTAGGGAGGGGGAGTCCCCTCTATGGTGAGAGCAGTTTCAGTTTGGGGAAATTAAAAGGTCCTGGTGATGGACGACAGGACGATGGTGATGGATTGTACCTACAGCCGATGAGCTGTGCGCTTTAAAACGATCCAAACGATACACTTTATGCTGTCTAGTTTACTATGATCTTTTAAGAGTAGAGGAATCCAGTAACTATAGCTAACGAGAATTTTGAAATAAAGGCTTATCTTAGCTATGTGTGCATAGTGATAGAAGATGCCTGCAATCTTCAGATCTACTAGGTAGCTAGATCCCTTAACCGGGAAGTGAAGCCCGGCAATCGCGGCAACACCTCCAAGCACTTGCGATCTTTTACAAGCAGAAATCTTTCGCGGAATCCGAGAAAATGGGGTGTCTGGTTCCTGTAGTCTGTGATTCCTTGCTTTTAAATTCTCAAAATTGTTCTGAGAGACTTTGCTCTGGAGGGGAAAAAAAAATAGATGGGAAGAGGGGAGAGACCTGGTGGTGCACCCTCTGCAATACCGCACTTGGGGAGTGGAGGATGATCAAAGGTTCGAGGCCAGGCTTCACCTCGGAGTAAGCTCATCGCGCAGCGGAGAATTTGAGTTTTCTAGATTGGAGGTGGTGCGGGTGCGTGGGGTGGGGGTTGGGAGGTGGATCCTAGCCCGAGCAACGCACCGCGGGTGCCTCAGTTTCCCGGGAGAGGCCTGGGAGCCCGGGCCCTGACGTGGCGGGGCTGCGGGCTGGGCGGCCGCCAGGGGGCGCGAGCGCGGGAAGCGGAGCTGGGGGCCGCGGGGCGGAAGCGGCACGGAGGGAGGCGGGGCGGCGCGGAGTCACCCGGATCGGCCCGCCCGCCGCCGCCACCGAGGGGAGGTGACCGCGGCCCGCCCGGGCCACCAGTGGCCGCGCGCGGAGGGAACGCCGGGCGTAGAGAGCAGGTCGGTGCTGGGCCGGGCGCTGGCCGGGTGGCGGGGACGGTCGCTTGCGGGGCTGGCAGAGCTGCTCCGAGTTGCGCTGCGCTCGGCGACGTGAGGCTGGGACGCCACGGGCCCTCGCTGTCCTCACGCACGGCTGCAGGGTACCGGGGGCTCCCGCAGCCCTAGAGGCCGTTCCGGGCGCGGGGCCGAGGAGTCCAGCCCAGACGCTGTCACTGAGCCGCCGCTGCCTCTTGGCTAGAGCTGAAGGACTCAGCTCCAGTTCTGTCCCTTGTCGCTGCTGTTGCCGGTGGGCATGCGAGGCCGGGATTGCGTGACAGGCAGGCAGGGATGGTTTCCCAAGCAAGCCTAGAGGACTATTTAGCTGGAGTTGCAGCTTTGCTTTAGTGGAGTTTTTAGGTACCCAGGGCGCCTGCACTACTACCAGGCATCCGTGTGTCAGAGGAGGGTGGTGCTGTCTGTCACTCGAATAAAGGGATATTGGGATGACCAAACAGGCCGGTGTCTGATGTGTATTAAGAACCTCGAAGAGTGTTGGGGGGCGCAGGGTTGAATGTAAAAACCAACCTGAAAAGCGTCGTCATATGTAGAGAGAACGTTTCTGCGCTGTCGTTGTTCTGTAAGCTGCCTTTAGGTCTGTCTTACAGTAATCCTTTACAGTCACCAGAGCACCTCATGAAACTTCCTGATTAGTAATGGTGTGGTGTGTGACAAGCGACTACGACACTGATGCACGGTTCGGAAGCATAGTTCAGACTCCACTTTACTTAGTCAAGCGCCACTGTGCAGGTAGAACTGATTAACCCACAGTCGAATTTTGTGCCGCTCCGACCTGATTTCTCAGTTAGCACTGCACTGATAGAAAGTCGAAGCAAAAGCAGCGCCAGGCTGTAATGTGCAAGTTAGTGTATCCATCAGGACTCCATCTTCTAAACTATATGATCCCTCAGGCCCTCTTCCACTGCTAAAGTCTTTAATTTGAGTGTTAACTTGAAATAGATAACAAGTACAGTTTAGGGGGGATTAATTCTATTATTCTATTGTGGGGGATTAATTCTATAATAGTTTATAGCAGACCTTCAATTTCGTTATTACTCCCAACTCTCCCACTTACATAATGAATATTGGACTAAAGTGAAACCTGCCCCCCCACACACATTGCTCATGCTTCTGTGTTAGTGTCTAGAACTGAGAACTTGGCGTGTAGTGCAGAACCGCCAAGTCTGGCGTGGGAGTGGGGTACATGTTGTCACAGGTGATTTTTTTCAATCAGTCGAGAACATTCTGACTAAAACTGATAACTTTTGTGCCGTAGTCACATCGTGCGTGTTTTTGACTGACATCTGATAGGAGTCTTTATAGATGCTGTCTAAATATGTATGAATTATTCGTCTTTTAATCCACCAAGCAGACCTCCCGACCTTTTCTTCCCACACACCCGCTCTTTTCTGACCCTGTTCTCTGAGCACCCCCTTTGCTTGCAGAGACCCCTCTTCACATTCCTCTTTCCAACGCAGGGCAGGGCTCCCCCAGAGTGCCCGTTGAGCTTGCACGACTTTCTCCTACCGGACGGGAAGTCCTGGATCCCTAGATACCATTTAAGATCTGAAAGCTAGGGGTTGGGGATTTAGCTCCCTGGGTTCGGTCCTCAGCTTCAGAAAAAAAAAAAAAAAAAAAAAAAAAAAAAAAGACAAAATAAGATCTGAAAGCTAATGCAAGCTTTTAGATCATCGTTAACATGGACAGCGCCGCTCCTGCCAAGGGGCTGAGCAGACTACATTTGGATATTTAATGGCCACGTGTGCAGATTGTCCTAAGGGATGTCTCAGAGCAGAACCCCTTCTTCTGCCTTAGAAGGAAGCCCTTTCTGCATGGTGCATTCCTGTGCTTCAAATTCATCGCTGTTCCCAGCCCTCTGGGTCACTTTGATCTGTACTGGGCTGAAATAAACGCAAAAGGAATATTTTAAGCTACAGATTGTTTAGTCTTAAATTTGTGGGCGGATTTTAAAGAATGATTCAAAGAGTACAAGAAGAGGCTTGCTACCTATTGGCAGATACAAAATTTGGCTTATGTTTTCAGGCTTATTATTCTGTCTTTTGGGACAGAATACAAGTCAGTTAATGTCTCTTATAACTTGTCTCCGTTACAGGATCATCTATGAAATTCTCAAGCATATTTTCTTGTTAAAGTGTTCTTAAAATTAATTTAGAATATTTCTCAAAAGCTCTACACCCATGAATATGAAATGGTTTCCTATTATATCCGGCCATGAAAGCATCTGAATAAAATAATTTCAAGACTGGATAACTCAGTCTTGCTGTCAGGAGCACATTATGAGGTAGCCTGTGGCCTGGAGAGCAGGGAGATGGAAAGTCCTAGCCATAGCCAGACCCCCACACCCTCTGCCATGAAAGAACTATTATATTCACCGGGTGCTAACTTTTTTTCTTTCTTTTTTTTTTTTTTTTTTTTTTGGTTTTTCGAGACAGGGTTTTTCTGTGGTTTTGGAGCCTGTCCTGGAACTAGCTCTTGTAGATCAGGCTGGTCTCGAACTCACACAGATCTGCCTGCCTCTGCCTCCCGAGTGCTGGGATTAAAGGCGTGCGCCACCACCGCCCGGCGGGTGCTAACTTTTGTGTAGGCAGTTAATCCTTGGTGTCTAACAGAAAGCCATGCTGCCTGGTGCGGTGTGTGGTGGCTCACGATTTAATCCTCAGGTAGATCGCTGTGAGCTCACGGCCACCCTCTATGTAGTGAGCTTCAGGCCTGCCAAGGCTACATAGTGAGACCTTGTCTTAAAAAAAAATAAGTAAAATAAAAAGCAGCCACAAGGAAGAAAGTAGGCGGAGTAGCTAAAATGAGGTATTTCATTTTGGGTTTGCAAGACTTTTCTGCAGCCCAAAGATAGGTGGCTACTAAGAACTGAGAGTATGTTAAGGTGTTGTGCAGAGTGTGAGTCCGAGGGTTGTGCTCTGACCCTCAATGGTTCGTTCACTCATTCATTCATTCATTCATTTATTCATTCATTTTTGGAGCACTTCTATGAGTCAGGGAGGAAGTTTGAGGAAAGTGGGCAAAGGCCTGGTGAGGTACAGCCCCTGAGAGACATAAGCAAGCTTAGCTGTCCTCAGATTACATGGGCAATTCTAAGCTGTGTAGATAGAAAACACAGGGAGGGGGGCTGGGGGGGCTTTTACTTTTTATGCAGAGTGATGGGAGCCTCTCCTGAGAGGTTGCTTGATCTCTGACTTGACTGAGAGAGTAGGAGGTGGAGGTGGAGCAAGTCCCAGCCAGACACTGGAGCAGGAGCCTGCTGGGTAGGTGGGAGGGCTGACAAGGTCACAGGAGCCAAGCGGCGAGGCGTGGGAAGCGGCAGATTAAGAGGTGGTGGGAGCGGGGAAGGGCACCTCAGTATAGCCATTATAAAAGATCTGGCTTCCACCCCGAGGAAGGGGAAGCCTTTACGGGGTTTTCTCTGCCATTTGAAGAGGTTGAGAGTAGATGTTAAGAGAGAGAAGGTTGTGTGGCCCTAAATCAGAATTCTTCTCTGGGCTTTCATTTCCTCATCTGCAGAATAATTGGGTGCCCTCTTGCTCAAGAATTTTAAGATTTCGGGTCACGTGGAATACTTCTTCAGGGAGGCAAGGAGAGCGTGGAGGAGGATGAGATTCTTAACATAAAAGCTTCAGATGACCTGAAAGCTTGACACCAACCCACCTGGAGCTGGCCAGGGCTATGAGTTAAATCCTGTCTCAAAAAAAAAAAAAAAAAAAAAAAGCCGGGCAGTGGTGGCGCACGCCTTTAATCCCAGCACTCGGGAGGCAGAGGCAGGCGGATCTCTGTGAGTTCGAGACCAGCCTGGTCTACAGAGCTAGTGCCAGGACAGGCTCCAAAGCTACAGAGAAACCCTGTCTCGAAAAACTTAAAAAAAAAAAAAAGTTCCTTTAAATCTTCTCACTTTCAAACTTTCCAGTCTCTAAGTTCCCTTTCTGCCTGAACCGGGATCAAAAACTGCCACTCACCCGCAGATCTGGCAGCCAGAGCATCTTTGTCAGGGAAATCTGGAACTTTCGAGAAGGAAACAGTCCTAATTTTTGTCCATTTGAGTTTAGTTGCTGTTGTTTTTGAGGCAGGGTCTCTCTGTGTTGCCCAGGCTGTCCTGGCACTCCATCTGTAGATAGCCTTGAACCCACAGAGATCTGCTTGCCTCTCCTCTGCAGTGCGGGGGATTAAAGGTGTGCACCACCATGCCCAGCCCCATTTCAGCTGTTTTATCACAATCTAAAAGATTTATTTTGTGTTCAGTTCTGTTATCCCACTCCCCTGCCCCATGTGTTCTTTAAACATTTGTTGAGATTTATTTATTTTATATAAGTGAGTGTTCTGTTTGCATGTGTACCGCATGCATGCCTGGTGCCAGATCCCATGGAACTGGAGTTAAAGAGGGTGGTGACCCACCATATGGGTGCTAGGAATTAAACCCAGGTCCTGAAGAACATCCAGTGCTCTAAACGGCTGAGCCATTGCTCCAGCACCTCCCAGGTGCTCTCTTCAATTTCACTGTGCGTTTTGCTTGAGTAGGATCTTGCAAGGTGGAGGTATTTGATTTATGTATTTGAACTCTAGTGCTGTGGCTCTTCTTTTCCCCCGGGTGCTGTTGGTGTGTGCTCCTGCTTCATGTGCCACAGTTGCCTGTTCTCTGTGTAATAGGCGAGTGCTCAGGTTGACCTACTCCCCCACACTGCAGTAGTTACAGCAGTGAACTCTTTCTCCTCTCCTATGTGTCTGCTTAGAAAGCCGTGTAACCTTTCTGTGGGATGTCCTTAGAAGGACACTATTGCAGATGAGCTTTCATGGGCTGAGGTTGAGTAAATGATCTCAGATTCATTTCTACAATAGCTGTTGTAGTTGGATGTTTTTTTTTCCCCATCCACCAGTTCCCAGATAACTGATGTGGAGACTTAATATTAATTATAATTGCTTGGCCAATTGCTCAGGCTTGTTACTAGCTAACTCTTACATTTTAAATTAACCCATATTTCTTATCTATGCTTTGCTGTATGGATTGTGGTTGTCCTGCAGCATGACTTGCTCCCTCTGTATCTCCTGGCAGATCCTCTCACTCTGCCCTCCTTCTTCCCAGCCTCCTCTGTGTCCGGCTGTCCCACCTATACTTCCTGTCTAACTTTTTATTAAACCAATTTAAGTGACAAATCTTCACATAGGAACTGGCAGATGGGACAGAAAAGTCTTTCTATAAGCTGTCCCCATCTCTGTCCTGCCAGAAGTATCTGTGTCCCCATGTTTCACCAGCTCCAGCTTTGCAGACTTTTTCTGACCTTGTAAGTGCAAGATGACCGCTTGTTATCCTCATTTGTATTTTTGTCTTACTGGTCATTTCGAGCATCTCTTAGATGTACAGCTTCCTGCAAATGCAAGCTCTTTCTGTGTCATCTGTTGGTCCCTGTGGTGTCACTGGTACAGAAGTTATGTAATGCAAGTGCTCCTTGGTGCGTTATACTCTGATGCTATCTTCTCGTCTGCTCTATTCTATTGTCATTTGTTTTTCTTTGGTCATTTTATATTATCAAATAAGTTATTTCACCTAGGTTTATGCATCTCAAATTTTGTTTTAAAAACTCCTTCCTGGGATTGGAGTGATGTAGGAGGGTCTTTATCTATCTGTTGCTTTCATTGGTTAATTAATAAAGAAAACTGCTTGGCCTGATAGTGCAGAATTTAGATAGGCGTAGTAAACCGAACGGAATGCTGGGAAGAAGGGAAATGAGGCACACGCTATAGCTCTCTTCTCCAAGATGGACACAGGTTAAGATCCTTCCTGGTAAGCTACCATCTCATGGTGCTACACAGATTATTAGAAATGGGTTAATCAAGATGTGAGACTAGAGCTAATGGGCCAAGCAGTGTTTAAAAGAATACAGTTTCTGTGTAATTATTTCGGGTGTAAAGCTAGCTGGGAGGCGGGGAAACGGCCTGCAGCTCTTTCTACATTGGAGAGATGCTCAGTGGTTAAGAGCACTTGTTCTTCTAGAGAACCCAAGCTCGGGTCCCAGGACCCACATCAGGCAACTCCTAAGCACAAAAGAGAATCTGATGCCTTTTCTGACTAACACAGGAAGTGCCCTCATACACACACACACACACACACACACACACACACAGAGAGAGAGAGAGAGAGAGAGAGAGAGAGAGAGAGAGAGAGAATTAAAAATTAAATTGAAATTAAAAATTTTAAAATGCCATCTCTGGGTCACCTCTATGACTTTAATTCTTACAGACATTTTATCAATGTTGCATCCAGCTCTATTCTGTTTTCCTCCATTTGATGAGCCAGGTTTTTAAATAGAATCTCGCAGGGGTAGGACAGGGGAAAGAGGGAGCAGGGAGGAAGGGGGGGAGAGAGAGAGAGGAGAAGAAAAAATTCCATGCTTTTCTTTATTGAGCCACGGCACCCTTTCCCCTTCTCTGTGATCGCCATGGCATACTGTCCTATAGCTCCATGCCTATCCCACTGGTCAGTAGTTCCACGCGTGTTTCATCCCACTGGTCTGTAGTTCCACGTGTTTCATCCCACTGGTCTGTAGTTCCACGTGTTTCATCCCACTGGTCAGTAGTTCCACGTGTTTCATCCCACTGGTCTGTAGTTCCACGCGTGATTCATCTCACTGGTCTGTAGTTCCACGCGTGTTTCATCCCACTGGTCTGTAGTTCCATGCGTGTTTCATCCCACTGGTCTGTAGTTCCATGCGTGTTTCATCCCACTGGTCTGTAGTTCCATGCGTGTTTCATCCCACTGGTCAGTAGTTCCACGTGTTTCATCCCACTGGTCTGTAGTTCCACGCGTGATTCATCTCACTGGTCTGTAGTTCCACACGTGTTTCATCCCACTGGTCTGTAGTTCCATGCGTGTTTCATCCCACTGGTCTGTAGTTCCATGCGTGTTTCATCTCACTGGTCTGTAGTTCCACGTGTTTCATCCCACTGGTCAGTAGTTCCACGTGATTCATCTCACTGGTCAGTAGTTCCACGTGTTTCATCCCACTGGTCAGTAGTTCCATGCGTGTTTCATCCCACTGGTCTGTAGTTCCACGCGTGTTTCATCCCACTGGTCTGTAGTTCCACGTGTTTCATCCCACTGGTCTGTAGTTCCACGCGTGTTTCATCCCACTGGTCAGTAGTTCCACGCGTGTTTCATCCCACTGGTCTGTAGTTCCACGTGTTTCATCCCACTGGTCTGTAGTTCCACGCGTGTTTCATCCCACTGGTCTGTAGTTCCACGCGTGTTTCATCCCATGGTCAGTAGTTCTTGCTCCGGGTTGTTTTGCTCCGCTTTTTACTATAATGATGTCATAGTCATTTTCTGATGGCCAGCACAGCGACTCATTCATTTTAAGGTTTATGTAACTGTTCCTGGACCAAAGTTTACTTTTCCTTATAAATTTGGAGCACATTCATTAAGTTACTCAGAAATTATATTTTGAGATATTTTTATTGGGATTGTATTAAATGTGTAAATTATTTGAATAGGCTCGATATCTTTGTAATGGCGACGTGTTCTACTGAAAGAATGTAAATGTTTTTCCACTTACCTTATTTTTCTAGCATTTTTTTAGAGCTTGGAATTAATTTAAAACTGACAGAAGAGTTCTAACAATAGTACCAGGAGCTCCTGTATGCTGCTTCTCTGGAACAACCCAATGTTAGCATCTGGCCGTTGCTTCATGACGCCCTCTGCATGTTACACTTCCCTCATCCTTTTGAGTTGGGCACAGTCTCCTTCGAGTTTTCACCTCTAGGTACATCAGCACCTTGGGCCAAACTCAAGGCCTCGTGCATGCTAGGCAAGTACTCTACCGCCCAGCTGTCCTCAGCCCTTCATTATGGAAACTCCTTCATGAAACCCTAGAAGGGCGTTCTTGAGACTTTATGTTCTGATCCTATAGTGAATCATATTTCTAGATGGCAATCTGTAGTTTAAGATGCCTAACATGGTTTTTTCTCTCATTTTTTGTGCCAACTACTAAATTCTGGCTCTGCTGTTCTGAAACATGAATGCATTTCTGTAGGAAAGCTTGCAAGTGTTTTTATTAGGAGCAATATCCTTTTTTTATTACTTAACCTTGGCCTACTTTGTAGGGCTACAAAATATACAAATTAGGAAATTGGTATTTCTCAGTTCTGTATTTTCTTTCTTTCTTTTTTAAACCATCAGCACCCGGAATGTCTCCCACCCAAGTACTAACCAAACTCAACCCTGCATAGCTTCCCCACTCAGATTTAGGATGATGCTACTGTAGACAATTCTGTATTTTCTTAAAAATTTCAATAGTGTCCCATACACTATGCATTGTCAATCTTTTGTTAAAAGAAGGTTAAAGGATTTCATCAAAACTCTAGTTGAAATGTCTTTAAATTGGTACAAACTGTATATTAACATGAATATAGTCCTAGTCAGACTTGGTGCAATCTGACCAAAGAATGCTGTGCCTTCAAAAGCCCCTTGAGGTGCCATGAAGCCTCTGCAGGGAACCCATCAGCACAGTACAGTGAGTGCCTGACAGAGTCTACCAACGGCGTTTCAAAACTAGTAACAGTAACAGTAATAAAATAATCCACTCCGGTGCTCAGCAGCAGAGGAAGGTGTTGCCATGGGATCCGAGTCCACAGACCCTGTGTGTCCTGATTGTTCTAAACAGACCTTGTGCAAGGCAGCCTCGCCTCAGGGTGTCATTCATTTTGTCTTCTAGCCCCCCACCCAGGTAGTTAATCATATCCTTGAAATGGTGGTTGTGTAGCTTCTTCCCCATCCATGTGCCTTATTTCTTTCTCTTTTCTTATAGCATTGGCCAGGGCTTCCAGGACCACGTCAGAATGTTCCGCCAGATGCGTCCTTGAGAGGCTGAAAAGAGTGAGCCTAAATTTTTCCCACTTTGCATGGCAGTTTTTCATTTGTTTAATATTTGGTAGGTTTGGTTTTGTTTTAGACGGGGGTCTCGCTATGTCGCTTTGGCTGCTCTGGAACTCTATATGGAGCAGGCTGGCCTCAGACTCACTGAGATCCACCTGCTTCTGCCTCCCAGTGCTGGGATAAAGGCTTCTGTTCATATGTGTGCCCTTTATCAGGAGCAGGTGTTTCCTCCTGCTTGTAATTTATTGAGCTTTTCTATCAAGGATGGCTGGGTAGATAGATTAAACCTTATGGAAAACTTTGCCAGATTTTTCCTCCAGGAAATAAGATGGCTCCACTCCAGCTGCAAACCCAAATCTGACGCGTTGTGGCTAAGTTGTTACTAGCAGGACATAAATAAGAGGCTTCAATATTTCCGCACTCTACATCCGTTAGTGTATGGTCAAATCCCAAGAGTCTAACGTCAACTTGTTTCCCAGTGAGCTCTCACTTTTCCTTCTGATGTGGAGAGTCAGAACTGAAAAGGCTGTGTGAAGGGGAAGGGTCATGGTGAGCATTACAGCTGTACTGGTCAGTGTGATCGTCAATAAAGACACGAAAAACCAGTTCCCTTGCTCTGGGTCAGTTTCTACTCCTGGTGTAAATCTTCAGGGTATATCAAGGGAAAACTGCAGTTATTTAGCAGGTAGAGACGTAGATGGCTCCCCAGTGACAGTTATGCTTGTTGGTGGATTGCTGGGCCGTTAGCTACCATTGTCCCTTCTCTCCCACTTCAGATCAGTATCCCCCCATTATAAAAAAACTCTATGTATTAAACACAGAGAGTTTGTAAAATATAGAAAAGCAAACTTATAATCCTGGCTTTGGTGCCAACCTCTTAAAGGCTTTATTTCACTCCCATCTGGTTGTGGAGGAGGAGATGTGCTTAAGCCAGGGTTTCAGTGCCTTCCTCTTTTTTCAGGGATAATCTGAGCTCACCTTGATCTCATCTTGGTCCCCTAGGAAGGATCAAGGAGGGTAGCAGGCTATGATTAGCTTTAGGTATGGGGAGAGAAGCCTGTGGGTCGCCTGGCTGAGCCCAGGGGAGCCACCATGCACTGTACACCAAGCTCAACATTGTAGTTGAACATGGAGCATCCGTGGTCTAGAGCCCGACAGAGCGGGTCCCAAATCTGGGAGCAGAGGGTACCACTTTGGTGATTTTTACCCTTTAGCATCAATTCAGTCCCTGGTTCTTCTTTCTTCACATCACATTTTCATTTAAAGTCAGGGTCTCAGTGTGTAGTCCTGGTCTTTGGCCTGCTGGACTTGCTATGCAGACCAGGCTGGCCTGGAACTTGCAAGTATCCTTCTGCCTCCAAGTTCTGGGACTATAGGATAGGTATACAGTATCACACACTTGGCTTTTGTTTTCTTTTGACTCCAAAATAAACCTCCACAGCCGGGTGGTGGTGGCGCACGCCTTTAATCCCAGCACTCGGGAGGCAGAGGCAGGCGGATCTGTGTGAGTTCGAGACCAGCCTGGTCTACAAGAGCTAGTTCCAGGACAGGCTCCAAAACCACAGAGAAACCCTGTCTCGAAAAACCAAAAAAAAAAAAAAAAAAAAAAAAACCAAAAAAACCAAAAAACCTCCACATAGTCATTTTGTTTCCCTAATCCCGGTCTTGTGGGCTGTCCTATATGGACATGTAACAAGCAGGGAGTGAGCAAACTCCTAGTTAGCATTCCTGTCGTCAGCAAGTTCAACTCCACACAAAGGCGCTTCCTCCTCATGGTCATCCCTTTCTCCTGATTTGCTGGAGTGTCTGTTTCCAGTTTGCATTAACCCTTGCCTCTTTCTGGAATCCCAGAGAGAGAGAGAGAGAGAGAGAGAGAGAGAGAGAGAGAGAGAGAGAGAGAGCTCTACAAAGACAAGATTTTTTTTTCTGTCAAGTTATCCCAGGCACCTCTGTCACTGTGCCCCTACAAGTGAATCTATCTTGTGACCCAGAGACAGGAAACCCACAGGATGAGAAATGACGGTTCTCAGCCTCCTTCTAAGGTGAGGGTGGGGTAGTGGGATTTCATTGTTCCCTGAGAATGTAAAGAGGGCCAGGCACACCATCCACCCAGAGAGACACTGCCATTGTGCCAGCCTCTGCTGGGGGCAGGAAGAGCATGCTACCCTTTCCTGAAAGCAGAGTAAGGATTTGTGATGGGAGAGGCTCCGGGAGAGAATGGCTGGTGCTGATGTTCAGCCACGGTCCTGGCCGCGTGCAGGCTGGGCATTGTTCTCATGATGACTTGATTCTTTTAGCGTGAATGAGCCTGCCTCATCAGCAGAAAAAGTTGCAATGGATGTGTCGAGCTGTACTTCACTCCCCAGCCTCACGCCCCATGACCTCCTCTTTCTGGTTTGTTCTCTCCTCCCATGCCTAGTAAAGTAGACACTTTTTTCACCTTTTCTGTTGTTTCTGACAATAAGTATTATTCTGGATCTCACTCTGGGCTGTTGTGCCAGAAGTCACATTCACAGCGTGGTGTGGGATGTTAGCAGTCAGCTGCTGCAAGGTCGTGATAATGCTGTCCCCAGGCCATGGCCCCTGCCTAGTGCCCAGCACTCCAGCTACTCAGTCAGTTCCCAAGCGCTGCTGCCCTGGCCTGATCCAAAGCTGCTCCTGTACACGCATGTCCTTCTGTCTCTTCACTTTCTCCCAGTCAGCAGGTCTCATTCTCTCTTGTAACAGTACATGTGGCAGTAGGTGTCTTATTCTAGTTATTGGTATGTCGTCTGTCCAATTTACAGTTTCATTAGCTGTCCAAATTCAAACGAAGGGAAGCTAGAACCGATGGTGGTGCACACTTGTAAGGAGGATTGCAAGTTCAAGGCCAGCCTGATTTATGGGGGAGACCTTATCTCCAATATGATGTGATGACATGATATGATAGTTAATATAATATCCAGCAGTGAGCTTGTTAGCCAGTTCCATAAATGCTCAGCTCAATTAATCTTCAGGATGATTATGTGGAAGGTAATGCTTTAGCCCTGTTTAAGGTAGAGACGCTCGATGTATATGATAAGGAACCTTCTGTAAAGTTCTGTTGCTGACTGTAACAGATCTCTGCCCTAAAGATTTGGATTAGTTTATCTGCATAGACCCTGCTGTTTGCTATGGTGCACCAAGGCCAACGAGAGCTAACCTCAAACTCACGGTGGTCCTGTCTCGGGATCCCAAGTGCTAGGATTACAGAAATACACCTTTATTTTTTAAATTAATTAATTTAATGTATGTGTTTATTTGCTTAGGTGTGTCTCTTGTGGGTTCACATGTACCACAGTACACTTGTGGAGGTACGACAACAACCTTCAGGTGCTGGCTCTTACCCTTCTATCTTGCTCAAGACAGAGTCTTCTTGCCACTGCATAAACCAGGCTCGCTGTGCTGCCAGCTTCTGGAGATGGTCCTGTCTCTGCCTCTGCCTCCCTGTTGGGACATGCTGGAATGCAGATACACACTGCTGCCTCCCCATTGGGACACACTAAGATGCAGATGTACACCCCTGTTGGGACACGCTGGGATACAGATGTGTGTACCACTGAGACCAGCTTTTGGGTGGCTTCTGGGGGTCATCAGTCTTGTATAGCCTAACTGAGCCATTTCCCTAGCACCATTATTTTCTTAAATAATTTATTTAAAAAGATAGATCCAAGAAAATGACAGAGTTTGTAATTCATCCATTTCTTAAGCAGTCTTTAATTTGTTTGTTGTAAATTTAAATTAAAATATTTTGCTTATAATCTGTTTGTTGAAGAAACTGGCCATTTGTCCTAATGTTTCCTACAATATGGATTTTTTTTTAAGAGCTTGGTTGGCTCAATTTCACTCTAGTTTCTATAGTGAGTTAGCTTACAACTTACCCTTTCATCTGATGGCCATTGCAAAAGGTTCCAAATTGCTCAATCACTATACATAGAATTCACTGGCCCATATAATTTGGTCTCGCCCTGAGGTCATTTCTGAGGAGTCTTCTAGAGTGTTCCAGGTGTCAGAGAGTGACATTATCTATAGCCACCCATTTCCATATCAACTCATTGTGCCTTGAAAGGATTTTGTAACTATCTGGCAGGGAAGTTTCCCTGTTCCCTAGTGCTGGGGGTGGAGGGTGGGGTGGGGGCCTCTAGCTTTCTTCTTTAGGGACTGTGTGTTACTTTAAGGATTCCCAAGCTCAGTGACAGGACCTTGTTGGCATGTCATCTAACAGTATCGATCTGTTATGGGAAAACCCTGAGGACCCCTGGAGGGGTAGTGAGGGTAGAGTGAGTTTGCTTTGGAACCATACTCTACAGGCGCCTGTTGTGGTCCTAGAGACTCAGCAGCTCTCAGGACTGGGTGTCATGATGCTAATACAGAAGATTCTGAACCCACAGATTTCAGTACCCCAGGTTCTGGCTGCCGGTGTCTGGAGTCAGTAACTCTTGTATCTGGATCACTGTGGACTTCCAGGTTCCTTTCCTTTCTTCCTTTACTTTGGGGGCTTTGTTGCCTTTGCCTTCCATCACCTGGTGCTTCTGATGCTTCTGTAGGTTAGCAAACCAGTGTTCAAGTAGCACACATGAATGCTGTTGAAGTTTGATCTGTCGTTGATTCAAAGGTTCTAAGAAGAAAATATATCAGTGTTGATGTGTGATGCCTCTCTGTATGCTGTCAATAAAGAAGCTGATTTGGCCAATAGCCAAGCAAGAATAGGGTCAGGTGGGAAATCCAAGCAAAGATATAGGAGAAAGGGGGGCAGAGTCTGGGAGATGCCAGCAGCTGCTGAAGGAGTAAGATGCCAAAAACATTACTGGTAAGCTGTGGGGCACGTGGTGATATACAGATCAGTAGAGAAGGCTTAATTTAAATGGTAAGGGCTTGTTAATAATAATCCTGAGCTGGTAGGATGAACAGTTTGTAATTAATATTAAGCCTGAGTGGTTATTCAGGAACTGGTGGGTGGGAGAGGGACCTCCAGTTACACA